GGGAGTCATCAAAGGTCTAATGCAGCACTATCACTATCTGGTACCATGGGTGTGCTGGTAGATGTTTAACAATCTGAGGAAACATACACTTTTAAGTTTAATCTGCATTATTAATGCTTTCTCAAGCCTAGAAAATCAATAAAACAATAAATCAAGCCCAGATTATTAGCATCTGCTGATTCCCAAGGTTTAAAGCTTACATGGGGTTAGAGCTGGCTCCACCATATCCTTGTCTGGGTACTATATTTTACTTGGTGGTAGTGACCTAGAGTGAGATCAACTCCCAAGAAAGAATAAAAAAAGCTTGGCCTTGAAGCCAGGTTGACCTGGATAGGTTTTGCCTTTTATATAAACTGATTGTGTGGGGAAAAAAGATCAGGATGAGATGTGGTATCCAAAAGCAAGAAGCGTCCACAGTGGGTGAGGTTCACAAAAATGTGATGTTTACATCTGGTAACTATAAAATGGAACAAATTCTGTCTGAGAAGTTTTCATCTTAAAAGTGGGGGAGTAAACTATTTTACGCTAGTCAGTGTAGCCCTTCTGTTACTGTGTGCCAGGTACTGGGCACTGACTGATAGAGCTAAGAATGTCAGTGATGAAATGTAAATTTGGATTTTAATAAGGAATGTCAAGTCTTTACAGAAGGAATATCTTCAGCTCCAAACCAAAGTTCATGCAAAAAGTATTTCATATTGCATTAGAGAGTTAACATTTATTCATAACCAAGGGGTTAGAACACTGGACTTGGAGTCGGGAAGACCTGCCTCAGATATTGAATACTTGTGTGGCCCTGGGCAAGCTACTTCTCCTGTCTGAGCCTCAGTTTCCTCATTTACAAAATGAAGATGTTGGACTGAATGGTCTCTAAGGTCCCTTCCAGTTCTAAAATTATGTCGCTATATAACAGGCACTGAGACTTGACTGATAGAGCCGGAAGGAATCTTAGATTCCAACCCCTCCCTCCATTTGACAGATGAGAAAACTGAGGATCAAAAAGAAGCTGCGACTTATATTGAGTCACACAGATATTTAGTGGAAAAAATGAGAATAAAAGCCAAGTGTCTTGACTTTAATCTAGCATTCTTTCTATTTCACCTCTTCGGCAAAATATGCCTCTTCTCCTTCTATGGCTTACCTGGGAGATTTCTAAGGAGGTATGGCTTCACATTCTGACCATCTGGAAGGATAATCTGAGTTAAATAAGAAAATTTGGGATTAATAATATTAGCTAACATTTTCATAGCACCTACTATCTCCCTGGCACCCTGCTAAGCACTTTACAATTATTATCTCATTTGAGCCTCACTCTAATGTAATTCTAATTACTAATTACTAATATAAATCAATAGATTTACATAGTGAGATTAAATTATTTTATGTATCTCAAATTCAGCATATGCTGGTTTAATTTGTAAAACAGATAGTACTATAAAGGATTATAATAGAGTAGTATAAATCAAGCAAGAGGCAAGGCAGCTTAATGGTTGGAAGGCTGGGCCTTGAACATAGGAAGATCTGGATTCAAATCCTGCCCCTGATACTTACTGGTTAGAAAATCCATTGTGATAGCTGGGTGTGGATTGGAAGGAGGAGAGACTGGAGGCCAGGAGACCATTTAGAAGGCTATTCAGTCAGTCAGTCAATAAGCATCTATTAAGTGCCACGTGCCAGATATCCTGCTAAGCACTACAAAGAAAGGTGTGCAGCCGGGTGGCACAGTAGATAAGAGTGCTGGGACTGGTGTCAGGAAAACCTGAGTTCAAATCCGGTTTCAGATACTTCCTAGTTGAGTGACCCTGGAAAAGTCACTTAACCCTATTTGCCTCAGTTTCCTCATCTGTCAAATGAGCTGGAAAAGGAAATGGCAAACCACTCCAGTATTTTTGCCAAAAAAATTCAAATGGGGCCATAAACTCTCAGCCACAACTGGAATGACTGAGCAACACTATGATCCAGGAAGCTTGATAAGCCCTGGAGGAGTCAGGAAGACTTGAATAAAAATTGGATCTCAAATACTTACTGGTTATAGGACCCTAGGAAAGACACTTAACATCCATGTGCCTCAGATTTTCATCTATAAAATGGGAATATTAATAGTACCTACCTCCCAGCATTGTAAGGATCAAATGAGGTAATAGTTGTAAAGCACTTTGCAAACCTTAAAGCCCTATAAATATCCTAGCTATGATTATTATTCACTCCAACTTCAGCCACTGGAATTTCCTAAACTTTTCCTCAAATTTGGGAGGTATCCTTTATTTGGAGCTAATGCATTGACAAGATGTAGCCTCCATGTCCTCCAACCTCCCTTTTCATAGCTTCTCATCTCTTCCATGATGCCTTTCTCCTTTGAAATGACACTGGGTTCCTTTATTAACTTTTTTCTGTACAATTTCTCAAAGTTATATATGAAAAACAGAAACCAATGATTGTGAGGGACTGTCTGATGTTGGCAGCTACCAGGTTAAGGACTGTGGCAAGGGTAGGGTAGGATCTGGGTATTTTGGAAGTCGAGGCAGGGACTGTGGTAGGCAGAGTCGTGTGCACTGGGATGGGCTGGATATGGAGAAGCCCTGAGGCAATTGGGCAGTGCTCTGTGACATAAGCTGGGTACAAGGAAGTAGTAGGGGCCTGAGCTCCTGAGGCAAGGGGCGGTGCCACGTGGGAGTGGGATGGCAGAGGACTGAGTTTCCTCTGCTTAGTCCCCTCCCTATATGCAACATCATCCCCAGATGCCTCTTGTGACCTTCCTGACTTCCGGGTCCCTTTGTGCAGCACTGACCCAGTCCCCTCTTGAGTCTGACTTCCTAGGTCACGTATTCTTGTCCATGCGTCAATCCCAGATGCCTCCTTCCTGTATCCAATCCTGGCCTCCTACGTCACTCCCTCCCCCTTGGTGTGCTAAACTCAGACAGCCCCTTCCGGTATCTGACCCTACAATCATTGGCTAGTAGCGGGCTGGGGAGGAGGGGCTAAGTAGGTACTCAGGAACAAGCATGGTCAGAACACACACGTGCGCTCTCCCCTGGCTCCTGCCCTGTTGCTCTGGCCTTGCTGCTTGGGCTTGCTATGATGGTATGCTGTGTTGGCCTCTGAATAAAGCTCTGGTGTTGGTGCCTCCCGATGGCTCGTCTCTGTGTGGTGATCCGGCTCAGAACCGAAGACCCAGGTGTGGGTAAGACTCTGGTAGTGTACTTCTTTTAAGAGAAGTGGGTACTGGCGCACGACTGGCAGAAGGTCGGCGTGCGGCCCGTATAAATGATACTAGGTTAAGAGAAGATAAGGGAATTTCACAGTGAAGGTTAATGTTCAGGATGCATATTAGCAACTTTGGCAAAGACAATGCTCTGGGACTTCATTCCTGCTTACTCAAATACTTAGATTAACAGATAATGAAGCTATGTAAAAGAGGGCAGGGGGTAAAGTAGGTGGTGAAGTGGATAGAGTGCAGGGCCTGGAGTCAGGAGGTCCTGAGTTCAAATGTGGCCTCAGACACTTACTAGCTTTGTGACCCTAGGCAAGTCACTTAACCCTCTTTGCCTCAGTTTCCTAATCTGTAAAATGAGAGGGAGCAGGAAATGGCAAACCACTACTACAGTATCTCTGCCAAGAAAACCTAAAATGAGGTCTTGGAGAATCAGACCCAGCTGAAATGACAAAAACAACCAAGAAGGTCACGGTCTTGGCTGCAATGACAGGAATGCAGAGATGAAGTTGCTAGTTCTGTTCTGGTATCACATGATGTTCCTTAAAGCTATTAAAGTTTTGATATAATTCAAAGTGACCCTGACACTGTCTGCAAAATTATTTTTTTTTCTTTTCAACAAATATTTATTGTTTCTTTTCCGTGCAAGGTCCTATGCTTGATGTTGGGGATTTAAGGGAAAAATGAAAACAAACTGTTTTACAACAAATTCTACTATGGGAACATGACATTTATCTGCAAAATTCTTGATAGGAACCAGGAGAAGTTTACTCTCCTCACCCAAAATAGCAGGGAAGCTTGGAGAATTCCTTTGAAGGAGGATTTTTAACATTGTTAAGCTAAAAGAGCCAGAAACACCATTAACTCCAGGCATGTTGGCTGGACAGTCTCACAAAAGAGTGTTAAAGCTTCCTCTGAAGAAGGAGCCCCAGATGAAGACTCCAGCTACTTTAGAAACAGGACAGGACATCAGTGGGGCATACACACTTGTCTGCGAAGTGAACCATTAAAGCTATTCCAGCTGAGCCATAACCCTGGGACCTCCTGAGGCATATAGGTAATATTCCCATTCTCATGGGCAGCATGGGAATCCACAGGAAAATGTATTTCTTTATGTCTTGGGTCATTTCCCTCATCTATTTCAAATGAGCCCTTATGGCAAGGTAACAATGTATATTCTATTGCAATGGTTTTCTACAGAGGAGAGGAAAAGAGGTGTTATATGTAGATAGACAAGCCCCTTCAGCCTCAGCAAGACCAGGCTTCTAATCCTGCCTCTGACAGATGTGCCATTGGTAGAGGGAATTTCGTCTCCAGGGAGCTGACTACATAAATCAGCACCGGAATCTGTATGATTTATTTTGTTATTCGTCCTAAATGAAAACTTTATTTGATTTATGGTTCCTGGGTTTTGATAGGGAATTCCACATCTGCATAAGTAGGATCTCCCCCAAACATCACCTGGAGTAAAACAGGGAGTTATTTGGGATCCATGATACCCAGATCTAAATGACCAACCTTGCATGACGATAAAAATTATCCTAGTAGACATTCCTTACACAAAGAAAGAAACTCCATCTTCACATTTTAAATATCCTACGTGGACCAGGTTAAGCTGATCAGTCCCTCCTCACCAAAGTCCCAAATGTATTTCAACAATCAGTTAAACAGATCCGTGCCTGCCGCCCGTATCTGGGGAAAATGGGAGGTCGGAACCCTGCCGGCCACGTGATTCCTCTTCTCTCCCCTCTCCCCTCCCCCCTGCCCCCTGCCCCCTGACCCCTACTGAGTCATTACTTGTTAATGTTTGCACTTTCCTCTTGCATCCAGGGTGGTCAGCAAGAAGAAAGCTCGTCTACCTCGGTCCTGGTCAGGCTGTTTGTTCTCTCTTGTTTGTCAGAAAACCAGGAATTGAGAATCATGGCTGCGAAGCCCAAACTGTATTACTTCGATGGCAGAGGCAGAATGGAATCCGTGCGCTGGCTCCTGGCTGCTGCTGGTGTGGAGGTAGATGCTTCGTTTCTTACGTTTGTTCTTGTTCTTCAAGACTCAGTCAATATTTACTAGAGGAGAAGTCAGGTGGAGCTTACTGAATGACTCCCTCGAAAAGAGGAGTCTAATCACCGTGATTACCAAAGTCTTGTTTATCTAGATCATTAAGTGTTAATTGAGTTCTTCTGAAAGTGGAAACAGAGCCTAGGGGCAAGTTCACTGGACCCGGATTCAGCAGATGTGGATCCAAGTCCTGGTGACAGGACCAGTTACCGCCTTGCATCTCTGAGACTCAGCTTCATCATTTGTAAAATAGAGGAGTTGAATTAGATTACCTCTGAGATCCTTTGTAGTTTTAACATTCCTTGATTCTGTGATCTTTGCTTATACTGTAATTGAAAAATATCAAGGAACAGAAATTGTGTTAATTTTTAAAGAGATTTAAACAATCTACATTTTTGTGGACTTTAAAAAAAAATTCAATCAGGATTGGGGAAGGTTCAGATTCCTCATAAACAAATTCTTCCTGAAGTCTTTGCAAAGTTTCTCAACTTCTAAGCGTTAATAATTTAGATTGATATGCTAGAAAAAAATTATAATAATCTTTCAGGTGGTAATAAATGATTCTCCCTGCACTCTTATATTGGTAAATCACTTCACCTTTCTGGGATTCAGTTTCTTTTCCTGTTAAATAAGGAGATTAGAGGAGCTAATCTCCAATGTCTCCTTTCAGCTCTGCCTGACTCTTTGCATCTGAGGGACTTCAGTTCTGCTAATCATAGGACCCTGCTCTGTGGCAGGATGGAAAATGCAACTACTTTGTGCACGGATGTGTAATGTGGTTACTGCAAATTTGAACAAACTTCTTTTTAAATGTTGAAAAGTTCTTTCTTTTGTACCTGCAACCTAGGTTAGGCCTAAAGCTCTGCAGAGGTTTTAAGAGGAACTTGGGTGGGCACATGTTAGGTTAACATATAATGGGTGTATTATTGTTATTCTAAATGAATTAAAATTAAAAAATAAATTTACAATATATTAAAATTTAGCTGTTTTAATGGCTGTGTTGCAAACAGAAGCTCTTTGGGTGGGTCCTCAAAAATATTGCATTAACAATGTAAAGGAGGATTCTGAGATAAAAATTTGAAAAATGGATGGGAGCATCATAGAGTCATAGAGGTAGAGCTGAAAGAAACCTAGGAAGTCATTTAGTCCAAGGTCCTTATTTTTGCAGATGAGGAAATTGAAGCCCAGAGAAGTTAAATGACTTGCCCAGGGTCACCTAGCTAGAAAATAGGTACCTGAGGCACCTCAGGTACTTAAGGCAGCCTTGGAACTCAGGTCTTTGTGACTCCTATTCCTGTGCCCTACCCATGAAACCACCTAGTTGTCTTAGGTGATCTCAAAGTCCCTCCCAGTGCTAACATTTCATGATTCCATTGCTCTGATACTCTCACTTGTTCTTCTCCTTTCTAGTATGAAGAAGTGCTCTTCCAAACAGCTGAAGATTTTAAGAATTTAATTAAGAGTAAGTTCAAAACCCTGCTGCTGTGCTCTGCTAGTCCATGCAGATCAGATTAATTCCCATTGCCTTGCCTGAAAAGACATGCAAAAAGTCTCCAAGATCCCTCGTAGCCCTAAAATTCTCTGATTCTACAGTTGTGAAAAAGTATGTTATGAATCATATCATGGACGGGGAATTACATGCAACAGTACACAAGCGTGCTTCTCTGTACCTCAGAGGTAGGGTTTGAATTTCAAAACAACTACATCAGGGAAGAAAGTAAAGCTTCTTTCCTCCTAAAACAAAGAGCCCTTGGCTTCTATAGAGGAATCCTGGTGGAAGTAAAGAGTGATGGGATTTAAGACTGGAAAGGTTAGGTTGGAGTTGAGTCATGTCATTCCCTGAACTCGAGAAAAGAGTAGGCAAATGGGAGTTATGGGAGGTTTTTGTTGTTGTTGTTGTTGTTGTTTTTTTGTTTGTTTGTTTTTAGAAATAACTTGATATTACTGTGTTTCCTTGACTGTAAAGTGGGGATGATGATATGGTACCTGCCTCCTAGAGCTGTGAGGATCAAATGAGATAATATTTTTAAAAACACTTTGCATGGTACCTGGCACATATTCGGCATTTAATAAATGCTTATTTCCTTCTTTTTTCCAAGTGGATCCCCCAGTCCCCTCCCCCTTAGAAAGTAAAACTTCTTCCTCTGAAACAGAATCCTAGCCTCTACAAACTATCTTTACTTAAGACAGTTAGTTGGTGCAGTGGATAAGCTGCTGAACCTGGAGTCAAGAAGATCAGAGTTCAAATCTTTCCTTAGACACTTGCTGTGTGTGTGACCTTTGTGCTGTGTGATCCCGAGCAATTCACTAAACTTGCAGTCTCAGTTTCCTCAGCACTAAATGGTTGAGGGCTGTTGTGAGGATCAAAGGAGATAATATATGCAGTGCAAAGTTCTTTGCAAACTTTAAAATATAAAAATGCTGGTGATTTTTAACTGTGGGAGCCCAGGAGTCAGGAAATAGGAATGTTGCAACCTTGAGTAAGGAGAATAAGGGGCTGGCAGACTTGACCTAGCTCAAAAAGGTGAATGGACAGTATGGTAGCCCTAGGCCTTATAATGAACCAATTAAAATTTAAGGCTTATACAAAGTTCTTTCTTTATAATAACATGTGCAATACAAGTAGTATTAATCCCATTTTACAGATGAGAAAGCTGAGATTCAGGAATGTTAATTCAGTTGACCAAGGTCACATAGGCACATGTAGTAAAGCCAGGATTCTGATGGAACCTAACTGCTCTGGATTTTAAACCAGTAGTCTTTACACCACACCACAGTGTCTCTTGTAGGTGAAAAGTAATGAGGACTTGAATGTGGGGCATATGAGGTAATGGGCTAAGGAGGCAGTGGGGATGGTAAGGCTGGTACAGAATTGACAGGACTTTATGACTGATTGGATATGTGAGATAGGGTGAGAGAGAAGTTAAGGATGGCCTTGGAAACAGGAATTTTACTGAGCTAGTCTCTAACTTGAGAATGCTCGGAGCAGCACAAAGCAGACTTATAGAGGGGAATGTCAATAATCAAGTAGTTTCATTAATCAGTTTCAGAATGAGGAATGTTCTTTTAGCTGAAGTAAAAGCACAGGTTATGTATTAAATCACAACTAGGGAAAGTGGATTACAAACAATCATTTAGTGTTTTTTCCACGAGAAACCCATAGGTCTCACAATACAGTAATTCTGGAGTTAAGTCTTGGGGGTTGTGACCACCTCCCCTAATGTTTAGAACCAGAGTTCTGTGATGGTAACAGGTTCTACGGTCTTTGATTCGATTCACTCCAGGTACATAGGAAGAAGCATGCCAGTGATCGTGGGCCTTGTCAAGGCTTGATTAATCAGTTTAAGCTGCATTGTAAGTCTGACTCAGGCTGGAAAACACAGCTCTTGAGAAAACTAAATTGTTAGTATATTCATTACACGTATCATATCGATTAATATGAAAATTTTAACTTCCTTTCTCCTTCCTTCCTTTGGGCCAAAAAGGTCAGAACGACCCTTGAAGGCTGATGAGGAACATTTATTTGAAACACGATTTTGAAAGATTTCTTTATTATAGAAATTTGCTATAAAAGTGAAAAAGAGAGACATAGTTATCATATAAAGGGAAAAACTCCCTTAACTCTGTTTGATTCCAGGCATGAGTCACATCTAGCCAATCCATGTAGTTATAGAGTGTTAAAGCAACAGGATTAACTAGGTGGGAATTTTCCTTTTCCAGAAAGGAAATAACACAATTGGGAAAAATGTCAGGAGGATCCTACCTAGGCTATGTCCTAAGTTGTCCTCATAACCTTTCCCAGGTGCAGACATCTGCCTCAGCAGTCCCTCAGACTGCTGCACGTGCCATTTTCTCTTACTGGCTTTGTGACAATTCAGACAATTATTCCTGAAATCAAAGCTCAAAACAAATTATAGTCCCAGAAATTTTTACCTTAAATAGCAAAATTTTCATTAATCACAACTTAAGGAGATAAGTACAACATAAAAGTGAAAGAAAAAATAATCTGCTACTTCCATGAACATTAAGAGATAGAGGGGATAGTAGCACGGAGAAAAAAGGCTTCTTTCATACAGGGAAGTAACTGCAGACCTCAGTACGTGTCCAGGTTCTTGGGTTGCTGGTCTACATCAGCTGTCCTCGTCTTCTCTTCCTGGGGGTCTTGGGAACAGCTGTCCAGCTCAGCTGTAAGCTGCTTTAGACCATTTAATCTTTAGGGTCAGGTCACCTGTGGGTTCAGAAATCCAAGTGGGTGGTACTGCCCTTTTGAGATGTCACAAGTGGATCCAGGACTCCCCTCCCTGGAGTTTGGCTGCAGTGGGAGTAGTGAGCATGACTTCAAAGGGGCCTTTCCACCTTGGCTCCAAGGAGTGCTTTTGGAGGTGACATTTCTGTAGACCTAGTCCCCGGGATCAGGGGCTGAGTTTTGGTTGGAGTTTCTAAAGAATGGATCAAGTTTGTAAGTCTCTGACATGTTCTGAGCCAACACAATACAGTGTTGTAGGAGGGGCCATTTGGCTACTGTGCTTCTCACCAACGGGGACAGTGACATTGGGCATCTCATCGGGACTGAGCTTATGGGAACCAAATAGTCTAGCCCTAAGGCTTAACAGGGCTAAAGGAAGGGCTTTGGGCCAGGGAATAACTAGCTCCTCAGAGAATTTTGCTAGGGTGATTTTAAATATCCTATTAACTCTTTCAGACATTCCTGATGACTGGGGGTGATAGGCACAATGGAGGTGCTGAATAATTGATCAGGATGAAAGGAGCTTAGCTCATGAGGCTCTTGTCAAATGGGTACCTCTAGCATCTCTTTAGGAACCCCCCCATAATGGAATGATTTTTTCTAGAAGGATTTTTTGCTACCCCAGAGGCTGTGGCAGTTCAACAGGAGAGCACTTCCACCCACTGAGAAATCATACAGACCATAACCAAAGCATATTGGCATCCAAGGGCAGGTGGCAGTTGGTTAAAGTCAATCTGCCAGGTTTCAAACGGCGCATCTGGGAGAGGAAATTGGCCAGGAGCAGGCTTCAGAGGCTTGGATGCATTATTCTTGGGACAGGTGGGACACATCTCATAGGCAGTGACAGCAACCCTCTGAAAACTCCCAACCCATAGTGCCATAGTCTTAACAAGTTCACATCCCTCCTTTTGAAGCTTTCCCTGCTTTTTGATAAGCATTCTTTTTCTGAACAGGGGCTATCTCTTCTCTTGTAGGGCTAAGAGTAGGTAGGCCTTCAGAGTAAGATGGATATACTAAGGCTATTCTTATGGGGCAAAGTGAAAGTTCCATAGGGACCTGTACTATGAGTGCTGTTCTCTCGGGAGTTTGAGGAGTTAAAACTTCGGTTTTTGCTGCTTGGTCAACCAAGTCATTTCTGTGGGCACTAATGATGTTTACTTGGTTGTGCCCTGGAATTTTAATTACCTTGACAGTCTGGGGAAGCAGTAAACAGTCTAGTAGATGGGAAACCTGTTTCTGATTTTTAATGGGCTGTGCTAAGAAGGTGAGGAAGTCATGATGATTCCATAGCATCCCAAAGTCATATTTGTCATCACTTTCCATCTCAGGTGGGTAGATGGCCGGATTGAATGTACTTACACCAACTACATTCTCTGCTTTCTCAGAGGTGAATAAATCAATTGGGAGAGCTAAGCTGCATTATGAGTCTGACTCCCAAGCTGGAAAAGGCAGCTCTTGAGAAAACTAAATTAGTATATTCATTACACATATCATATTGATTAATATGAAAATTTTAAATTCCTTACCCACTCTGGAATTGTGAGAAGGAGTCCCTGAAAATGGTAGTGTCATTGGCAAAAATACAGAAGTCAGGAACAGGGTCAGGCAATAGTGGTGTTTTTTTTGGGGGTGGGGGAGGGTGGGTGGGTGTGGGTGGAGTAGGTGGAAGATAATGAGTTCAATCTTAGATACATGGAATTTGGGATGCTGATGTTACTTCCAAGTAGAAATGTCCAATAGGCAGCTGGAAAAGGGAATATGAACTTGTTAAAGAGGTCAGAACTAGAGATGTTCGCACTAGAACTCTGACTAAATTTGGAATGCTGGGTCTGATAAGTGAGCCTTATTTTGCCTGGCAACAGATGACACACCTTTTCCAGCCATTTTCAAACTATGCTGCCTGCATATTGCCCAGACTCCTCATCCCCATCACACCAGAACTCACACTGACCCTAACATCTTGGACTCTGATAGGTGTGTTTGGCCAATGGGACACTTCCAAATCCCACTGCCATAAGCATATCTTTCCTGATCTCTATCTCTCCTTTATGCATTGTCTTTCCCCTTTAGAATTGTAAACTTCTACAAGGCTGGGAATGTCTTGTTTAGGTTTTTTTCCCTAGCACTTAGCATAGTGACTGGCATATAGTTAGGTGCTTAAAAAAGTCTTTTTCATTCATTCCTTCATTTAGATTTAGGAGTTCCACATACAGAAGGGATAGCTGAAGCTGTGGGAAAGGATGAAAAGTACTGAGAGATGGTATAGAGACTGAAAAGAAGAGAGTCAAACACTAAGCCTCAGGGAATGGATTTTTGCAATAGGAGGTCATTTGGTGGCTTTTAAGAGAGCAGCTTTAGTAGATTTATTTGTAGTTTCTGTACCTGTAAGGACAAATGCCATCTGCCTCTTCTCCCATCCCCCATTCTCACATGAAAACACTGGCACATAACTGGTATGAAATGTTCTGCATTGGTATGCGTATGGTGTCCTTTGAGAATGGTAAGTAGTCCAGTTTTACCATTTCATGGGATAAATGAAGGGAATAGTTGAATTAAAAATCAAACATTAAGCATTTACTGTGTGCCAAGTACTATTCTAAGATCTGTGGATACAAAAAAAACCCACAACTGAAGACAATGCCTTATTTTAATGGGGTAGACAACACAGACAGAAGAATGGTGGTCAGGAAGGGGCATTTTGATTTGGAAAGTTACTGAGGGGGGTGAGTGGAGCCTTAGAGGAGTAGATTGATATAACCTTTCTAGTAGCAATGGACTTACTGATTTGATTGTGGTTCCTGCCTTAGAAAGGAGGCAGAGGCTACAAAGAGTATGAACCAGGGGCAAAGTGGCTACTGCCAAAGAGACAGCTGGGAAAAGCAGTGAAGCATGGATTGGGCCAGTCTGCTATAGGAGACTCTTGAGGCACTGAGTTGAAAGGGTAAAGTCTCCAAGGCATCTCCTCTGGGCCAGTGAACAAAGGCAGTTGGTCTGGCCAGAAGAGGGATGGGAAGTAAAAAATGATGGGATACAACACTGGAAAGGTTATGAAGGTCATGGAAGAGTTTGAATTTCTTTTTTAGTCTTTTGGCAATTCTTTAATAGATTTAAAAATGACAATAAAGCTCATACTTTGATAAATGTTAATAAGTAATCTAATTACAACAAAAGTCTCTAGAGAAATAAATCTGATTTGTTACAAGCACAGCATTGCCCTTTTATGGTACCAAAAGGAATAAGTTTTAAATTCAGCAAATAAACTTTAGCTTAATGAAAATAATCCATTTCTATGTATCTTATAAAACTTAAACAGAAAATAATCAAATTAAATCTTTTATTTACTTACAAAATAAGCATCCAGTGAATCAAAAGGTATGAGGAAGTTTGGTTTCATATGAACCCCCGAATTATTTTCCAGGTATTTCCTTTTACTTGTAAGTAATTGAGTCCACAGGTTTAAATATTAAGTCAGTATAAGTACAAAATAAACACAATGGATGTCAGCAAAGCTATAAATGTCTGCTTAATTATTTATAAAAGGGAGAGAATGTAATTGAAAACCTGATTAAAGGTTTAATCATTACTACCCGAAGCAGAAACATACTATTCTGTGGTACTACTGTATCTCTGTAAAATCACAGATATAGCTCCTGCCTTCACCATAGCTACTTTCGCAAAAATAAAGAGTCTATAGTGAAAAGTTTTACCCATCTTGTTCAACATGTTGAGGTTTATCTGCTAACTGCTCAAAAAACTGAAGAACTTTCAACATACAGTCTACTTATCATGTATCACATTTAAACAGAAGAGTATTAATGTGTTATATAAAAAAGCTACATTACAAAGCGGTAGTTATAGGAGTTTTTTTGTGCAAAGAAGTAACTTGATAATTGTCATCCTTCCAAAAGACTAGATAGGAAGGACAGATTGGAAAAGAGAGAGACTGGAGGCATGGAGATCAAGGAGAAATATCTTGGAACAATCTAGATGGGAACTGATGAGAACTAGGGTATGGCAGTGGGAGCTGGAGAGAGGATGGATCAGTCTATTAACAAGCATTTATTAAGCATGTACTGTATACCAGCTACTATCTGAGGCATGTCAAAGATGAAAAAATGAAAGTCTTTTCCCTCAGGGAGCTTATATTCTTTAAAAGGAAGCAACATGTACAAATATAATTTATATAGCACCTTAAGGCAGAGCTCTTAATAAATGCAATCCATACAACAACCCTGTAAACTAGGTGCTATTATGATCTCTATTTTACAGATAAGGAAGCTAATGCTAGTAGGCTAAGTGATTTGCCAAGGGCCATATAGCTAGCAAGTGTCTGAGACAGGATTCGAAATCTGGTCTTCCTAATTCCAAGTCCAGAACACTGTCCACTGTGCAAGGGAATGAATGTGCATTAAACAGGTCTTGTAATCATTTTGGGCCTGTATCCTCCACTGTCAAACAAGAGAGTTTAAGTAGGTGATTACTGGGGTCCCTTGTAGTTCCAGTACTATGATTCCATCACCATACTCCAGTGAAGGGGAGTAAGCTACTGACTTGACTTTTTTTTTTTTCCTATTTTTAGGTGGAAAACTAATGTATGACCAAGTGCCAATGGTTGAAATGGATGGAATGTCCATAGTACAAACCAGAGCCATCCTGAAATATATAGCTACAAAATACAACTTGTATGGGAAGGACCTGAAGGAGAGAGCAATGTACGGTAATCATTGCATGCTTATGATAGAACATAGAAGCCACCTTTTTCATTTTGGGAAATTTCTTCTTAACAATTGAGATTGGCAACTGATTTGTCCTGGGTCATATGGCCAGTAGAGTTGAAAGGCAAGATTTTAACCCGGGAAATCCTGACTCCAAGGCTTGTTGTTTATTCATTAAAACCTCTGTCTCCCAATGTAATTGTGTTGAACGCTTATCTTCTTTACTGTATAAAAGCAATAATGCTCTTATAAGCATGTTATGAATATGTAAACTTTCTAATTTCCTTTCCCCACCTGAGATGCTCTTAGCCTGGGCTTGGCCTTGTAGTGGGTATCTCTGCCAGGTGGGAGTAGCAACGTAGAAGGAGGTCAAAGGAGAAAAAAAAACAAAAACTCTTAACTTTGTAGTAGATAGCTGACTATAAAGTAAAAATGATACTGGCTTTTGTAGACTAATTATTAAGCAATTAATCAACAAACATTTATTAAGCATCTTCTGGGAGACAAACGTGCTACACTCAGAGGATACAAAAAGGCAAAAAACAGTCTATGCCCTCAAAGAGCTTATATTCTAATGGATTGCTTGTGGAATCTATTCCCACTAATGTTTTAAGGCCCATATGCAATGGACTGGCCCATTCACAGATACCTAGATGACTTGCTCAGGAGATAGGAAATAATGGCTTTAGAGCTCAAAAAAAAAAAAAAAAACCTCAATGCAATAAGGACATTTAAAAAATACTTTTTACTGATTTGAAAAAGCATGAGTTCAAAAACAATAAATATCTTCACTAACTCAGTGAACATGAAGGTGTTTTAAAAATTAGTGTCTGTTTATTAGCTCATCATAGAAAGGCCATGTTGTATAATGGAAAGCAACCCACGTTGGATGAATCATCAACAAACATTTATTAAGCACCCACTATATGTTAGGTGCTGTTCTAGGCTATGGGGGTACGAAAACAAAGACTGAAGATATTTTGAAACAGTTTTTATTCTCAAGGAGTTTTTTATGTTCTGGAGTCAAAAAGAATTAGATTCAAGCCCAGGTTTGGACACTACCTTTTTGACTCTTGAAAGGTTATTTAACCGCTCAGTGTCCCCTAAAATGATAAGTGACAGGTGACTTGTCAATTTGTATGGTTGAGGAAGTAGCCCATGCTGATGAAATAATAGTTGCAGATGAAGACACAAAACCAGAACAACTCATGCTGAATTCTGCTTTATAGTGGTGATCATGAGATTGTGAGCTCCTCTAAGGCAGGGACTTTATTGCCTCTTTTTGTATACCCAGCATTGAACACAGTTCCTGGCACAAAGTAGGCTCTTGATAGATGTTGATTGATTAGTTTTGTAGGTTTTCTAAACCAAGTGAAAATGTCCTTTAAAAAAGAAGTTGATGTTTTTAAAGCTCTGAATCAAGGTTTTTCCATTAAGCTTTTTTTTTTTTTTCTCTAATGAAGATCCTGGCTGCCAATCTGTAGAGGAACCATTTTCCTTATCTGGGGCCTAACATATTTATGTTGGATTAGGCAGTGTTTTTATCCTGGGTTTGTGGCCTTGTCTATTTAAATATTTTGTTAACTGTATTTCAATTCAATTGGTTTCCTTTGTGTATTTTGTTTTATGCATTTAAAAATATTATTCTAAGAAAGGTTACATAGGCTTAACCAGATTGCTAATGACATTCATGACACAATAAAACAGGGTTGAAAATCTCCGGTTTAGAGGAAAAGCAGGAAGGGTTCAACATAATAGGATCATAGATGTAGAGCTGAAAGTGACCGTAGAAGTCATCTTGTCCAGCCCCCTTGTTTTACAGATGAGGAAACTGAGGTTCAAAGGAGTCAATTATCCTATTCAATTTGAATTGTCAGTGATAATTGCTCTTGAAATGAGTAGATCTGTTTTAAGAGAGAGGCAACAATTTTAAACTAATTCCATTTCTACAGGTAGGGCTGTTCTTCAAGATAGGGCCAGTATTCAAAGCTTCTCCCACAGGTCTTTGGGCAAGTCCCTGGTAGAACAAATGTTACAATTTAGGTGTGACCTAGGATTTCATTGGCAGAGAGAATTCCAGTAAGGAAACCATTTCTAACAATATAAGGCAGCAACAACTACGATTTAGAGTCTTAGAGAGTTGCTTTCAGTGACTTGTCTAGTCATGCAGCCAGTATGTGTGAGAGATGGGACCTTAACATGAATCACCTAATTCCAAGCCTGGCTCCATTAACCTGGAGTCCATTAACATGGTTTGTTTTTAATTTGGTAACTGAACTATAACATAATTGGTTTCCTTTGTAATTCTATGTGTTTTATTTCATGCATTCAAAACGTTATTCTGAGAAAGGGTCCATAGGCTTAACCAGAAAGAGTCCCAAAGTAGCCTATGAAGCATAAAAGTCTAAGGATCCCTGCTCTTTACTTCTCCATGATGAGTCTTAAAGTCTATACTATAATGATGAATTAATACCTCACATGTGACATCTTTCATTGGTATGTCATAATAACACTTGATACTTTTGAAAGTATGTTCATAGACAATATTTCATTTTATCCTGATATTCATTGTATAAGGTAGACAGAATTATGATTCCTATTGTATGAGATCACTAAAGCCCAGGGAGGAGAAAAGGTCCCAAAGTCATTGGGCTATTTTGTGCCAACACTGGGATTAGAACCCATGTTTTCAGAGAATCCTAGAATTTTAGATCCAAACTATATCTCAGCAATCATCTAGTTCATCTAGGTTTTCAAAATCTGAGCCAGTGTTCTTTTATAGTTCCATTTGGACTCATCAAAAGTAACATGTTTCTTCCCATTCACTCTGGAGAAGGATTATTGGTGTTGGCAAAGGTGAATTGATAAAACACCTTTTGTCCCAACAAAGGGGTCCTGAGACTGAAAAAAAATCAGAAACCATATGCCCAGAATGTATTTCTTCCTCACTTCTACCTCTTAAGACTCCCAACTTCCTTCAAGGCTCAGTTCATAGGCCACCTCCTGTGGGAAGTGTTCCATGATTTCCTTAGTAAGTACTTCTCTCTCCTTCATCAAGTTATCCTTATATATCCCCCAAGGAGATGTTAGGCTCCTTAAGGGGAGGAACTGTTTCATTTATGTCTTTATATCCTTAGACCTACCACAGGACCTTATACACACTTCACATAGCTGCCGAAGAAAGAACATTGTATCTTGAGTTGGAAGATCTGAGTTCAAATCTCACCTCTGATACATGTATGACCTTTTTTAATTATTCTGGTTCGATGTTTCCTTACCTGTAAAATGGGGGGAGATTGGACTAATTGGCTTTTGAGGTGCCTTCTAAATCTACATTTATGATCCTGTATTGTTGTTGTTCAGTCATTTCAATTGTACCCAGCTTTTTGTGACCCCATTTGAGGTTTCCTTGGCAAAGATACTAGAGTAGTTTGCCATTTCCTTCTCTAGCTTATTTTACAGTTGAGGAAACTGAGGCAAACAGAGTTAAGTGACTTGCCCAGGGTAACACAGCTTTTAAGTATCTGATGCTGAATTTAAACTCAGGTCTTCCTGACTCCAGGCATGGCACTCTATCCAATGAGACACCTAGCTGCTCTATGACTTAAGTTCTAATCTCACTTCTGATGCATACTATTTGTGTGACCATTTTTGGTTACTCTGGTCCTTAGTATCTTTATCTGTAAAACGAAGTGGTTGGACTCATTAGCTTTTGAGGTCCCTTCCAACTCTCTGTCAATGATCATATGACTTAAGTTCAAAACTCACATCTGAGGCTTACTATTTGCATGACCCTAGACAAATCATTGAACATCCCTGAATCTCAGTTTTCTCATCTGTAAAATGAGGAGTATACTAAGTGGCTTTTGAGGTCCCTCTAGTTCTAAATCTGGAATCCTATATTTTTAGAGCACAGGTATGACCATATTTTAAAAAAGAATAAAAAACATCAGTATGGTGACCAACAAGATGCCAAATCAATCATTTTCTCTGGTCCCCACTAACTCTCAAACCCCCTCTCAAAAGAGTGACTACGTGCCAGAGGTAGAGTAATACAGTTGAATCTACAGGAAAAAAACCATGAGATTCCCAGCAAGGTAACAGCCTCATGAATGAACACCAGGCAACACTAATCCTTAAAACATTCTCTAAGCACCCCTCTGAACTATAAGCCATCATGCTCCATAGAGCATACAAAGCCATCCATGGGCTTGTGCCCTGGACCTGCACAAGGACTCTTCTCCTGGTACAGACACTCTGAGCACACATACCACCTCCAGCTGCCATTGCTGCAAGCAGTAGGCATTGATTCTGCCTAGCTATGTGAAGAGGAAGTGGGTTGGGGAAGGGAATCAGGCTTCCTTCTGCCTGGGGCAGTCCTGAAGGAACCTCATTACTACAGAGGCTGTGTAGAATACCTACTCAACCCAACCCAACACCAAAAAAGTGGTAGAAGCTGATGCAGTCCAATTAGAGGAAGAAAGAACCATGAAGGAACTAGGTTAAGGGGCCAAGTGTTTGCTTGTGCCAGGTTTAAAGGAAAGGGGAGTGAAACACAACTGAAATAGATAAGTCTAACCCAGAAGTTATATAGGCCAGGGACCCAGGCTCTAGCCTGGGAAAAGTATACCCTTCAACATGAGAAGAGATTGAGGCAGATTTGCAGTATAGCCCTGGGAATATACTTACAAAAAAGGGAGAGTTTCAAGAAGTAATAGGGCTCAAAGGGAAAAAAGTCTAAAACTACTGATGATTTCAAGGAGATGAAATTTAAAACCCTAAAGCACAAGCAGATAAATCAACAAACAAGATATACAAATTAGAAGGAAGGATGAGTACTAAAGTCTCCAAAAGATGACCAAGTTCTACAAATACTACAAGACAAAGGTAATTGGACCTGCTCAAAAGTCTCCACTGGTTCCCTAACTCTGGATAAAATACAAACTTTTCTGTTTTACATTCATAGCCATTGAAAACTAGAATTAAGCTCCAGGCTATGTCTTTCTAGGTTTCTCACACATTACTCACCTTTGCACACTCTACCTTCTGGCCTAATTTGCCTTCTTACTGCTTCAAACACAGTATTAAGGCTCCAGTCTCTGCCTTTGCAAAAGCACCCTGGTCCCCATGTCTGGAATGCACTCCCTCTTTCCCTCTGCCTCTTAGAATTCTGAGATGCCTTTAAACCTCAGCTCAAGGGTCACTTCCTATAAGAGACCTTTTTTGACTTCCCTCATTTCCCATTCCCTCTCCAATTATTTTGTATTTATTTTATATAAACTTTATATTTACCTATATGCTCACATCTTATTTCCCACAATAGGATATTGAATCCAAGGACTGTTTCTTTTTTTCTTTATCATCCTAGCATTATACCTAGAATGTAGTGGGTGATCAGTAAATGCTTATTATATATACATAAAAGGGACTTAATACATATTGAGTAGAGTGAATTGGAAGCATTGTTCTGAGTGACAAAGTAGTGTTGTAGGGGCCACCTTGAACCTCTTCCCCTATAGGAACTGTCCCTTCTTTCAAGGCCGCTTCATTATTGTCACTCAATTAATAGAGTTAATTTTAGCCTTTCTTTCCCCAGTTGACCATTTCCTGGCTTATTCCAATAATGCGTATTTCTTGAGCATTAATTATGTTCTCTACATTAATTAAGTGCTGAAATTTACATCTTTTGAGGTCTATATTGCTGAACATTCCTGGAGAATAAGCTTTCTTTTCAAGAAAAAACTCTAACAACTTTGATTTTAGGCAGTGAGACCCTGAGCTACCTGCCTTTTAGGGAGGAATAAAGTGAAGTGTGAAAGAATAGATGACAGGATCAGAGATTTAGAGCAGAAAGAGACCTTAGGAGTCTTCTAGTCTGAACACTTCCTTTTATAGATGAGGGAACCGAGGCACAGAAAGTTCAAGTGACTTAGTCAAAGTCACACAGATGGTAAGTGACATATATAGGATGTATTTTAGACCTGGAATCAGGGTGGCTAGGTGGCACAGAGGTTAGAGTGCTGGCCCTGAAGGCAGGAAGACTCATCTTCCTGAGTTCAAATCTGACCTCAGACACTTACTAGCTGTTACCCTAGACAAGTCACTTAACCCTGTTTGCCTCAGTTTCTTCATTTGTAAAATAAACTGGGGAAGAAAATGGCAAACCCACTCTAGTACCTGTCCCAAGAAAACCCCAAATGCAGTCACAAAGAGTCAGACCTGACTGAAATGACTGAACAACAATAACAGGAAGACCAGATTAAAACTTTGTGCCTGACACATACTAGCTGTGTGACCCCAAGCAAGTCATTCTCGAACCTGTTTTCTCAGCTCTAAAATGGGGATAATAATACCTGTAGGACCTAGTTTACAGTGTTGAGAGGCTCAAATGAAATCATGTGGGTAAAGTGCTTTTCAAATTTTAAAGCCTTTTCTGTCAGTTATTATTAAATACTTTTTCAGTCATTTCCCCTAGTTCTCATATTTTTATTTGTGCCACTTTTCTTTTCCAGTATTGACATGTATGTGGAAGGGATGAGGGACCTGAATGACATGATTATGTTCTTCCCATTTTCTTTGCCTGAAGAAAAACAAAAGATTCTCAACTATATCCTGGAGAGGGCCACTCAAAGATTCTTCCCAGTGTATGAGAAGGTACGGAACAATGCGGCAGTGTGTGATCTGCCTCTACATAATCTGACATTACAAGCCCCTTCTCTATTCATTCTGAGCAAATACGTGACAATGCAGGAGCATTGGAGGCCCCATGGTATGGAAGAAAGACCACTGGCTCTGTAGACACATGATCTGAATTCAGATCCTGCCTCTGTCACTTACTACTTGTGGAAATGTGGGCACATCACTTTCTAACCCTGGATCTCAGTTTCCTAAGCTTTACAAAGTAAGGCAGCAACCTATAGTGGATAAAGTGCCGGATTTGGTGTCAGGAAGACAGACCTTGGTTCAAATCCTACCTCAGACACTTACCAGTTGTGTGACCCTGGGCAAGTCACTTGTCTTATCTGGGTCTCAGTTTCTTCATTGTAAAATAAGGAAACTGGACTTAATGACCCCTAAGGTCACTTCTAGCTCATAATCTGTGATCCTGTAAATTCATAAAGAGCTGGAACTACTGGAAAATAAGATAGGCAGCCACCTACAATTCAACATTAGGGGACGCAATGAAGGGTATTTGATATTTGTTTTCAACGTTGAAAAATTATATGGTTAGTCCTGGCACTGATCTGTTTGAGTTCTTATGCACTTTTTTAGACAGATAAATGAAGGAAGGGTTGGTGGCAAAGCTCCATGAATTCTTTCCATAAAAATGGATTTTTCTGAACCTATATACAAAGTTGGTACGATCTAGTCCTTTTAGGATGAAGACTTACTAAATCATTTAATACACACATTAATTACATCAGAAGACCTAATAGAATCAACCTCTCCACAAGCATTTATTAAAGAGCCAATGGCATACCAGGGACTGTGCTCAGCACTGAGGACACAAAGGCAAAATGAAACAGACCCTGCCCTCAAGGAGCTTACATTCTTATACCTAAAAGTGTTTCTGTGTGTCTGGGTATATGTATGCACACACAAATAAGTACAACGTAATTTGGGGGGAACATATTACTAATTGGGGGGCTATCAGGAAGGTAATTGGGGGAGGTCAGGAAGGTCATCATGTGGGAGGCGGTTTTTGAGATGAGCTTTTAAGGAAACTCAGGAATTTATTGAAGGTTGTGGTAAAAAGTGAGTGCATTCTGGTCTTGGGGGCCAAACTGTGCAAACGTATGTAGTAAGGACATGGGATGCCTTGTATGAGGAATAGAAAGAAGGCCAGTTTGTCTGGACTTTAGACTGTGTGAATGGGAGTAATGTAAAATGAAGGCTAGAAAGGTAGGCTGCAGTCAGATTGGGAAAAGCTTTAAATCCTCTAATAACAGCATCTTACATTTATCAAATGCTTTATGATTATCAAATAGTTTACAAGCAGTATTTTACTTGATCCTCACAACAGCACTGTTCGTGAGCAATGCAAATATTCCCATTATATGGATGATGAAATGGAGTCTCAGAGAAGTGCAGTGACTTGCCCAAGGTCACACAGTAAGTGGCAAAACTAGAAGGAGAATCAAGATCTTTCTGATTACAAGTTGAGAATTTACTTCATAAGACATCTCTAGACATCATAGTCTAGTTACTAGACTCTGAGTTTACAGATCCTAGTTTGACTGGAATGTGGGAGGGAACAAAATATAACACTAGATTTGGGATCTGAAATCTTGGTTCCAATTCTAGCTTTGCCATTTTCTACTAGTATACCTTGGGCAAATCACTTTAACCTCAGTGGGCTCCTTTTTTTCACCTGAAAAAGAAAGGGGTTGGACTAGGTGATCCCCAGGTTCCTTGTACAACTTAATCCTATATATAATTCTGAGTGGCAATGAAGTACATATTTTGCACAACTCCTCAAAGTGCTTTCAGCATGTATACTGTGCGTTACATTTGTCTATGTATATTATAGTCTCCTCTGCCTGGTATAGTACAAGCTCCCTGATGACAGAGATTAGATCATTTTTTGCCTTTTTATCCCTATCACCTTACCCAATGCTATGCATTGTTGTTCATGTTCAGTAGATTTCATTTGTGTCTCACTCTTCATGACCTCATTTGGGATTTTCTTGGCAGAGATACTGGAGTGGTTTTGTCATTTCCTTCTTGAGCTCATTTTACCAATGAGGAAACTGAGTCAAACAGGCTTAAATGACTTGCCCTGGGTCACACAGCTAGTAAATGTCTGAGGTCGGATTTGAATTCTGGAAGATGAGTCTTCCTCATTCTAGGCCTGGCAATCTAACTACTGTGCCACCTAGGTGCTATGAATGTAGGAAGTATTTAATGAATGTGTGTTTATTTGTTGAATAATGTCTGAAACAGAAAAATCTGTTGTACTAGACTTGTTACGCAAATTGTTATGTTGTTACACAAATTGCCTAGACCTCTGTCACAGTGGAGAAGAAATTTATCCATGTGTCTGTCAGTTTCAGTTTGTGGTGACAGATAATTCATAGACTCCATCATAGAGAAAATATATTTAAAAATACTTGATGTTTTGGTCCTTGGTGTTAAAAAAAAGTTGCTGTGTTAAGAAAATTTTAGAAACAACATTGTCTCAATAACCTACAACTCTTGAAGGCAGATTGTCATCACAACCTGAGAATGTAGTCAACAGGTGATCCCATGGGCTCCTAATATGGGAAAAGGATAATGACAAAAAAAGGGAATCTTATTTCTGCTGTAACCTGAGTATAGGGGGTGGGGAACCTGAGGCCTCAAGGCCACATGTGGCTCTCTAGGTCCTCAAGTATGGCCTTTTGACTGAGTCTAAGTTTTACAGAACAAATCCTTTTATTTTATTTTTTTATTTAATTTATTGGTGAGGCATTTGGGCTTAAGTGATTTGCCCAGAGTCCTACTGCTAGTGAGTGTCAGGTGTCTGAGGCTGGATTTGAAATCAGGTCCTCCTGACTCCAAGGCCGGAGCTCTATCCACTATCCCTAAATGAGCACCACCTAGCTGGCCCAACAAATCCTTATATTAAGGGGATTTGTTCTGTGAAGTTTGAACTCAGTCAGAGGGCCACACTTGAGGTCCTAGAGAGCCACATGTGACCTCGAGGCTGCCAGTTCCCCACCCCTGGTGGATATGTCATGTGTTTCATTGATTGCCATAGCTAGAAGAGACTTTAACTTGTCCTTGGGATTTGTAAATTTTATTTTCCAATTTTGTGACTTTCTTTAAGCTTAAGGATATTTCCTTTTGGTTGAAATATCTCCCCTCCATTATAGGATTTATTGTTTTTTTCCTCCACGGAGATTCCCTTTTCTGGCTAACTTGGTATCTCCCGTAGGATTCCAAATATATTGTGCAACCTGACCGCCTGTGGCTTATTGCCTGCAAGGGTACTGTCTGCCGTTAAATAATACTGCTTAGAGTTTTGTGTTGATTACACAGTTATTGTCTTGAATGTGGCCCTGAATTCATTGCTATTGCCTCTCTTATTGTATGTTATCACTTGTGTGTGTGTTTCTTGGTTTTCATTACCCCATAAAAAAATCCCAAATGTTTGCATTTGCATTATTGCTTTGTTGAATATATTTTAAAACAGAATTTAAGCCAAGACTTAACATTTAAGACTTTAGCCATTTGGTGTGAAGTGATGCCATGAGAAACTCACTGAGGATTTTACGTTCTAGTAATAATAATAGCTAATGTTTGTATGATACTTACTATGTGCCAGGCACTGTACTAAGGACTTTACAAATATTATCTCATTTGATCCTCCCAACCACCCTGCTTAAATAGTCTGAAAATATAACAGGCAGAGGTTTGTGAGACAAACTGAAATGTCTAATCAAGCTGGAAAAAGATATTACAGTCAAAGCAGGGATGGGGAACCTGCAGTCTTAAGGCAAAGTGTGGCCTTCTAGGTCTTTAAGTGCAACCTTTTGACTGAATCCTAATTTTAGGGAACATATCCTTTTATTTTTATTCATACATTTTTGTCCATCTTTCATGTTTTTTTAAATGAACATATTTTAAATACCAAAGAATAAAATAACTTTCAGTAAAATAATACTCCCAGATTGACTGGCACAATTACAACATTAGTAAACCATAAGGACTAAATTTGACGGCTGCTACGCTCATGATTTAGTTCTAACCTCCTCCTGCTGAGTGCCACCACTATTGCACAAGGCTGATCGGTGAGAGTTTATGGAGGTTGAGTATGCCAGTCTGTTAGCAGCTCTTGATCACAGTGCACTGTGTTTCTATTTGAAGTAGAATTCGTGAATAGTGGCACAGCTCAAAATCTGTCTGCTTAACAGTCTGTTATGTCAAAGAAGACCAAGAGAACAGTGAAGGAAGAAAACAGATTTTTTAAAATGAGGATTGGGAATTGTGATACCATCTTGTTTCTGCTAAAGATAAGATGATTTGCTTGTTTTGTGATACTGCTGTATCAACATTAACAAAATTCAGTGTTCATCAGAATTATATTACTCATAAGGACCACAAATATTTTAGAGGGAGAGGCATGAAAGGTTGTATTGCAGAAATTAAAGATGAAAAGCAAATGCAAAGTAATTCTTTCAAGCAGCAATAAGACCTAGAAATAGTTCCACTGAAGCAACTTATAAAGTAGCTTATATACTTGGGAAAAACAGGAAGCCACTCAGTGATGTAGAAATTGTGAAAGAATTCATTGTTGAAGTTGTAGGATGGTTAGACATACCCCCCCCCCAACAAAAGTACAAACAACTGCCTCTTTCAAGGAGAACCATGACTGATTGACAGCATGAATTAGCTTTCAACTTAATGTAATATTTCAAAAAGAAAATATATATTATTCAATCGCTTTGGATGAATCAACTGATACTACTGACTGGGCACAGGTTTTATACTTATTCAGGTGATAACAGAAGATTTTCTTTGCCACAAGGAGTTACTCTCTTTGGGCACTCTTGTGAACAGGATGTGGGGAATAGATATCTTCAACAATTTTCAAGATAAGTGTTGTGAAGTTGGACTGAATTTGGTAAATTTAGAGAGGGTATGTATAGATGGTGTACCTTCCATGACTGGAAACCATGAAGGGGTTATTGCACAGATTAAAAAAAAAGAATTAACAGATCCAGATGCCTTCTTTTTTTTATTGTATCTTGGATCCAGCAAAATCTCTGTGCTAAAGCTACAATTTTAAGTGACACTTTGCAACAAGTTCTAAGTGCTGTTGACTATATTCATGCAAATGCAACATGGCATCATCAGTTTCGTAACATGCCAGAAGTTGACCCATGAGGTATTCAGCGTGGGTTTGCCATATCATTCTAAAGTGTGTTGATTATAGCAGGTACAGGTGTTAGCCAAATTTTTATCTCTGCAAGAGAATCAGCAATGTGAATTATTTATGGAAGATTTCTATAGGAATACTGCATTTTTGTGTGATATCATGTCAAATCAAAATGACTTGAATATTTCTTTGCAAGTTAAAACTAAGTCTATATATGATGTGTGGCAAAAAAATCCAAGCATTTCAAAAAAGGTATCTTTTTCAAAAGGAAATTTCAGATGAACATTTTCCCCAGTTAGCAAAGGTCATTGATGAGCAGGATGATATATGCAAATCATTGGAAGAATAGGCAGCTGTTATAGACTTGTTAATTGGAGAATACAATGAAAGGTTCACTGACTTGGTCAATCGTGAAATCATACCAAAATTAGCATTTTAGCCTCACCTAGTTGATGTCACCAGGGCACCTAAAGAACTGCAGATGGAATTAATTTAAAATGTAGATGACATTTTAAAGTCATTCTTTGGTTTAACAAAGATCCAATTGAAATATGGAAAATGCAGGAGAATACTCATGCCTTTGGCCACATGCCTGAAAAATGCTTTCTTGCTTTTCAGCCACTTATTGCTTAGAATCTACACTCTTACCTAACCCAAATCAAGATGCCCTTAGGGTCACAAATGACTGATACCCATCCAGAGTATGGATGAAACTGTGGACCTTTGTGCTGCAACCAAATATTCAAATGCTTTCCAACAAAAAGCAGATATGACAAAGTCATTAAAAGGTTAGTTAACTTTAAAAATTAACAAATAGTTTTCATTTTTTGAAATTATTAAGTACATAGTTAGATTTTTACAAAATAATGTACATTTTAAAAGTATATCTAATTAAAGTTTCTCGAATGTGGCCTTGTTTGATTACAGCTAAATATTAATGTGGCCTTCCAACATGAAAAGGTTCCCCACCCCTGGTCAAAGGTTTAGACCTTCCACCCCACAACAGGGGAGCTCCAGGCCTAAGAGTCTTCTCAGGAAAGCTTATAAGTACCAAAGTCAGAAAAGGAATCCAGGTTTCCTAACTCATGGCCCAAATCCTTTTTTTTTTAAAAATTTTCTTTTGTGTTACAGTGTCTCTCTCTCTTTCTCATTTGGAGTAATCCATAGTGAGGAATAAAGTTCTGCTGGTTGGAAAAGAATTATTTTGCTTACTAGAGAGAGTGTACCAGGCTATACTTTTTTATTTTAAACTCAATCATCAAAAATTTGGATATAGAAAGATTATATAAGAAACTGTAAACTTTCATAAGGTACCTCATACCTGGACTACAATAGCCACTTGCTTGGTCTACCTGCCTCTGATGGGGTTGGAATCAGAGCTCCAGAAAAGAAAAACTCTGTCCCTGATGGGGTGGGAATCTGAGCCCCAGAAAGGAAAAACCCTGGACCAAATCTCTGGAGTTCCTCGAGGCTATAACCCCATCAACTGGTCTTTCATTGTGGCTACACCCAATCTCCCCTCCATTGCCTTGCCTCCCGATGGCCCCAGGCCACTTCCCACCCTTGGTCCCACCTAGGCTCTATTTCCCAGTCTTGGGAATTCTATTACCTCATGGACTACTTGGCCACTCTCCCATGATCTTTCTGTATATAAGGTCCATCTTGTCTCCATTAAGATGCTCAGATTTTTACAATCTAGCCAATAGCCCATAGATGCTCAGACTCCTTAAGAGTCTAGCTAATATGGCGAATCTTCAATAAACGTTGTTTCTGGCTGCAAGAAGGCGTGGGTTGAATTCTTTCGGGCAGGGCCCGGGTATCATGATTTTGGGGTGCCAGGACCCCTAACCTTTAGACCACATCACCTCCATTCCAGTTCATCTTTCACTCAGCTGTAAAAATAACCTTCCTTAAGTGTTAGTGTAACCATGTCCCTCTCCTATTCAAAAACTCCTATAGCTCCTTATTACTTCTAGGATCAAATATAAAATCCTCCATTTGGCTTTTAATTCCCTTTCCTAACCTTTCCTATCTTCTTATACTTTGCTTCTCCCCCACTTCCACACCAGTTACTCTGAGATTCAGAGACCCTGGCCTCCTTGCTATTCTGAACAGACTCCTGGGAATTTTCACTGGCTGCCTCCCATGCCTGAAACTCTCTCCACACTCATCTCTGCCTCCTGACTTTTTCCAGTTCTCCTTAATTTTAGTCTTCCTTCTGAGATAACTCTGCAATTAGCATGTCTATAGCTTGTTTGTATGTAGTTGTTTACATGTTGTCTCCTCCATTAGACTGACATCCTTGAGAGAGAGACCTTTTTTTTGCTTTTCTTTATATGCTCACCACTTAGCACAGAGCCCAGTACGCAGAAGGTGTTTAATAAATGCTTGTTTCCTCAATACCTAACAAGGTAGAAATAAAATTGCTCTCTATCTCCTTCTGCCCTATGTTTTCTTCTGTGTATTGTGGCTCTTTCCATTAGAATACAAGTAATGTACCCTACATTGCCATACTTTCTTTCCCTTCTCTCCTTGTCACTGGTCCTACAGGCATTAAAAGACCATGGGAAAAATTACCTTGTTGGCAACCAGTTGAGCTGGGCAGATGTCCAGCTGCTTGAAGTCATCCTAATGGTTGAAGAACTCAAGTCTGACATTCTATCTGCATTCCCTAAGCTTCAGGTAATTCCATCAAAAATACATACCATTGCTTAACATGTTGTCTTGCCCTTTAGATATAAACTCCATGAAGGCAGGGATGGTTTTTGTTTTTTCTTTTTATCTCCAGAGTTTAGTGTAGTGCCTAGAACACAATGAATGATTAATACATGCTTGCTAATTACCTGACTTAAAAGATCTGAGTTTTCCCTTGTGTAGGTCCTTTCTCTACTGACCCTAACTCTATTTATCTCCCAAAGCTTCCTTCATAGATGGTCTTCCTGAGCTGCTGTGGCCCAAAACAGTCATCAGTTGTTGAGCACCCTTCTGCTAAAGAGTCTTAATGAATTTGTCTAAATATGTTTTCAGATGATGGGCAAACAGCCCAGGGCCAGGCCCAAAGCTCAAAGTCTTTCCAGCTTGGTGGGACCACCTAAAACTTTCATTTGACTAGTATAGCTTTTGAGAATTATTGGTCTCCTCCACACCACTTTGAGCAAACAGAGGAGGATTTTAATGGAAGCCATGCTACAACAAGGCCCTAAATTGGATAAATTCATCAATTTATTCACTAATAAATCAATAGTTAGTACCTATTATGCATAAAATAGTGTGCTAGTCTCTGGGAATAGAGGTAGGGAAATAAAAGATGAATGTCACGATCTTTGCTCTCCCAGGGCTTACAATCTATCACATTGTGCTAAAGCTTTCCTTTTTGATTTCCTGTGTAGCTGTTTTATTGTCTGCAGGGGTGGTCTGAGGCCAACATTCATTGGTGCAGGAAAATCCTGTTGGGCAAACTCAACCTGTCAATGAAAATTGACACTAACTCTGTAGCTTAAAGTCACAGAAGACTGTCTGAGAGTAATAGGAGGTTAAGTGACTTGGTTTGAGTCACAGAACCAATATGTGTTAGAGGCAGGACATGAACCCAAGTCTTCCTGAGTATGGAGGCTAATTGGTGCTCCATCAACTACCTCAAGTTTTTATTTCCAATATGGCTTTTAATAAGCTTATACAAACTAATTAAAGGAAAAAAAACCTATGTCGGATATACATTTTGGAAAGAAAAGGCTGTTTTTTCATACATTATATTATATAACTGAAAAGTGGGCCTTTTACACATTTGCAGAACAGGGAGTTCCTCAGGACTTTCAAATGTCACTGCCCACAGGGTGAAAATGCTTGCCACAGCTTTCCCCCAGGATGAAATAGTTTCCAAAGGGTCTTGGCAAGAGCAACCTTGGGGCCCTCCTCCAATGTACAAGGTTAATTGCTTTATTTACAGGTGATGTCATGTTGTTTTGTGTATTTTTTTTTCATTTTAGGAGTTCAAAGCTAGAGTCAGCAAGCTCCCCAATATTCAGAAATTCCTCCAGCCTGGTAGTCCAAGAAAGCCACAAGAGGATGAAACAACTGTGGAAGTTGTAAAGAAGATATTCAAGCTTGATGAAGACTTGTTTCTTCAACACATGTGAATATTCAGCTCAAGTAAAGAGTTCTAAAGAACACAATTAATGTTTTAGTTTCCATCTGTAGTCATGCCCGTGTTCATGTGACATTCCTAGGTTCAACAACTAGCAAATATGATTCCTCCCTTAGAGCTTATTGTAAATCAGAAAACCTAATCTTTACATTGCTTATTATAAAACTTCATTTAATGAGAACCTCACTTTACTTAGGGTTGTAGAATCATAGATTATGTTCTCATTTTTATTCCAAATTTAATAATTAGCTAAATTTAGAGCCAGAAGAGACCTTAGAAGTTCTTGAGTGTCATTCCTTCCTTCCAGCCCTGCCCCCCCAAGTGCCTTTTACTGGAATAGTAATTGAAGCCCAGAGTAGTTAAGTGACCTATTCTGAGGTCACACAAATAGTAAGTGGTACAACAGGGATTCAAGCTCAGGTCAAGTATAAAATGTGGATAATAATAGCACTGAACAAGCCATCAGTGAACTCTCTAAAAAAAAATCTCCAGGATCAGATAGATTTACAGGTCAATTCTATCAAACATTTAAAGAACGTTTAATTCCAATACTATATAAACTCTTTTGAAAAACAGGCAAAGGAGTCCTACCAAATTCTTTTTTATGATACAAATATGGTCCTCATAACTAAACCTTGAAGAGCCAAAACAGAGAGAAAATTATAGACCAATTTCCCTAATGAATATAGATGCAAAAATTTAAAATAAAATATTAGCAAAGAGATTATAGCAACTTATCAGTAGGATAATATAGTATGACCAGGTGGGATTTATATCAGTAATGCAGGGCTGGTTCAATATTAGGAAAACTGTCAGCATAACAGATCCTATCAGTAACAAAGTTAACAAATCATATAATCATCTCAATAGATGCAGAAAAAGCTTTTGACAAAATATAACACCCACTCCTATTAAAAACATTAGAGAGTACAGGAATCAATGGAGTAACAGTGGTGGGGTAGGGTGGTAAACAAGTTGAACTAGATCTCTCTCTTCCTCATCTACTAGGACACTCCCTCTCAATTGCCTCCTTCCAGTTGTAACCCCACAAAAAAGCAAAGGTATGTGGTTAACCTTGTTTTTATAAACAAAATAAATGTTTAAAATGAAGCAAGACAAACAGACTTTTCCCATACCCAAAGAAAAAAGATTTAGACTTCCATGATGGAGTTCAAAAGGAGAAAGGAAATACCAAATTACTGACTTGTCAAGTCACTTGATTTCTCAGCTTAAGTTTCACCATCTATAAAATGTTCTAAATGACTTCTAAGGTCCCTTCCAGTTCTAGATTTATGATGAGACTACTTCAAATTGGGGTGGAGGAAAGGAAGCTTTTTGAAGAAGAAAAAAATAATAACCTGGATTTTTTAATATTATATACACAGTACCTTATACCATGTAGGAATTAATTTTTTTCTTTCTCTTTTCCTTTTAGTTGTCTTTCTTTCTGCCTCTTTCTTTTTTTTTTTGTCTTATTGCATTGTTGCTCAGTTGTTTTTTTTTTTTGCCACATGTATAAGCATGAATGGAATATAAAAAAAAAAACTTTTGTGCTTACTAAGAAAATAAGCCTGAAGACCAAAATTTAGCACACTAGAAATTAATGAAAGTTATCCCACTGACTTGAGGAAGGAAATGGAATCATGGATTCTTAATTATTTAATCTATTCACTCAAACTTCAAGGGAGGATTTGAGCAAGTCAATAAAGTATAACCAGTTCCCAAAAAATTGTTTTCATTTTTCTCCACAAGTTTCAAATCCACGAACATGCAAAGGATCTGTGATTTCTTTGGTATGGTGATTCTCTCCATCATTGCAGTTCTAAATTAATGTATTATTTACTGTTTTTTAAAAAAAATGCCCTGCAGAATTGCTAAAGGCAATTTAAAGAGCTTAGGTGACTTACCCAGTGTCACACAGCTGGCAAGTGTCAGAAATGGGATTTAAACCCAAGTATTCCTGACTCTGGGCCCAACGCTCTGTCCACTGTTCCCACCCCACCTCTAAAGTTGAACATATAACCAATGTGTGGATTTGTTTCACTTGACCAAACTTACTTGTTTTGAAAGAGGAGTCTATTGGTAATGGGCAGAGAAAGTGGAAAGTAATGAGGATGCACAAAAAAGAGAAAAATATTAACAATAAATATTTTTAAGAAAGGAAAAATAATAATTACTTGGGTATTACATAAGGGTGAAAAGTATAAAGGAGTGGTGGGTTCAGCAACATTGCAGGTCAAAGCCTACAGGCTGATGAGCAGGAGGATTTGGTTCATGAGTAACTGCTGCACTTCCAGCCAAAGTGAGATGGGAGTTGGGGACAGGGGAAGGCAAGCATTCATTAAGCACTGACTGTGTCCCAAGCACAATGGTAAGCACTTTGCAGATAGTATTTCATTTGGTTGAGAAAGGAAGACTCAGTCTCAAAAAGAAACAAACATCTCAGTCTGTTGGGGAGATAATGCCCAAGCAAGCATGAACAAACAAGATCCATACAGGTAAGAAGTAACATCAGGTTATCTTTTGTGTAGGTTTTACTTGATTACAACACTAAGTTCTGTTCTTTTAACTTGAGACTATTTAGTTTACTACTCATTAGGTATGACTGTGGACACATTAAACAGAGAAAACATTGCCAGCTTGTAGGCTTGGTAAGATTATGAAGAACATGAACCATGCCATATTAACCAAAAGGTTATCTGCATTATAATACATAGCTGCTTTTGAGCTCCAAGACTACACAAATATTGGAATTTTGCAAGGCTATTTACCACCAAGATGATGGTCAGGCATCTTGGGACTTCAGAGATCTTAGGGTGCTGAGTCAACATTTAGCTTGTGAATTTTGTGCAGGGTTAATGAAATAATGGGGTCAAAAGATTTAAAGCCAGAATCCTTAGGGATTACCTACCCAATCCCCTCATTTTAGGGACGAGGAAACAAGCCCTAAAAAAAGGAAGTGACTGCCTAAGACCACCCAGGTAGAAGGGAGGAGATGAGTCTGGAAAAGGGTCTGGAAGGATAGGGCTGATTACATGGATTTCAGGCAGAGCTTTGTCCAGGTCCCAGATTTGAAGCCAGAAAAAAGGTGAGACACTGGTGTGTATCTTCTTTTGCCTCCTCCAGCTCCTGGAAATTAGTTGGCCCTCAGCAGCTACAGCCGGGCAGATTTACAGACTTCCCCAGGGGAGATTTGCAATATCTTGTTAGGGAGAGATCAATGCCCATTTCATCTGCCTCTACCCTTTTCATATACCCTAAGATGACTAAAATGGGTTTAATAATAGGTAGCCTTATAAATCATGTATTTCAGGGGCATGGGGAAAATTTCCCTGACCATCATATCATGCCTCCCTATGTGCTTAATGTTACCTGAAATTTCTTTAATAGCAGAAAAGACCTTTAAATAATTAGGGACAAAAGCCTAAAAGGTAAATGCCTGTACCCTTTGATCCAGAAGTACCCTACTAGGTCTGTGTCCCAAAGAAATCATAAAAAAAGGGAAAAGAACCAACAAGTACAAAAATATTCATAGCAGTTCTTTTTGTGGTGGCCAAGATTTAGTAATTGAGAGGATGCCCTTCAATTGGGGAATGACTGAACAAATTGTGGTATATGAACGTAATGGAATACTATTGTGCTATAAAAAAGGAAGAGCAGGTAGATTTCAGAAAAACCTGGAAAAACTTACCTGAACTGATGCTGAGTGGCCAGTGAGCAAAAACAGGAAAACATTGTACATACTATTAACAACCTTATAGAATGATTAAGTGGGAATGACTTAGTTCTTCTCAGCAATATAATGATCCAAGACAATTCCAAAAGGATCATGATGGAAAATGCTGTCCACATCCAGAGAAAAAACTGATGGAGGCTGAATGCATATTGAAGCATACTATTTAACTTTTTTGGTTTTTTTAAAAGGTTTTTTACCTTTTATTCTGTTTCTTCCTTTACAACATGACTAATGTGGCAATGTTTTATATGATTGTACATGTATAACCTACATCAGATGGCATGCCATCTTGGGAGAGGGGAGGGATAAAGGGAGAAAAATTTGGAACTTAAAATCTTTCAAAAAATGAATGTTGAAAATTTTCTTTACATGTAATTGGAAAGAATGAAACATTATTTAAAAAGAAAAAAAAGCTGAATGCCTGGTAGAGGCAACCCACAAATATAGGATACAGATATTTAAGTCCCTTTCTTAGAATGAATGGATCAACTTTCATATTTTTTATCCATAACCAGTAGCAGAGCTAGGTGGTATGACTTTGTTCCAAGGCTTGGAAATTTAAAAATCGAAACATTTATGATTATTATAGGAAGAACTGAGTTTAGCACCTACTTAGCAATAATAATTAGGTAAAATATCTCCAAAAATTCCCCATAAGATCAGGGGTGAAACAACGATGTCCATTATCACCACTGTTATTCAGTGTTGTACTAAAAGTGTTAGCTTGAGCAATAACAAAAGAAAAAGAAACTGGAGGAATTAGAACAGGCAATGAAGAAACAAAGTTATCACTCTTTGCAGATGATATGATGGTATACTTAGAGAATCCTAGAGAATCAATTAAAAAACTACTTGAAATAATTAACAACATTAGCAAAGTGGCAGGATATAAAATAAACCCACAAAAATCATTGGTATCTCTATGTATCGCTAACAAAGCCCAACAGCAAGAGATAGAAAGAGAAATTCCATTTAAAGTATCTGTAGACAATATAAAACATTTGGGAGTCTACCTGCCAAGAGAAACCCAGGAACTATATGAACACAACTACAAAACATTTCTCACACAAATAAAGTCAGATCTAAGCAACTGGAAAAAATATCAGTTGCTCATGGATAGGCCGAGCTAATGTAATAAAAATGACAATTCAACCTAAATTAATTTACTTATTCAGTGCCATACCAATCAAACTGCCAAAAAATTATTTCATAGAACTAGAAAAAATAGTAACAGAATTCATCTGGAAGAACAAAAGGTCCAGAACATCAAGGGAACTAATGAAAAGAAAAGCAAGGGAAGGTGGCCTAGGCTTACCAGATCTAAAACTGTATTATAAAGCAGCAATCATCAAAATTACTTGGTCCTGGCTCAGAAATAATGTGATGGAACAGTGGAATAGTTTATGTACACATGACACAGTAGCTATAGTAATCTACTCTTCGATAAACCCAAAGACTCCAGCTTCTGGGATTAGAACCCACTATTTAACAAAAACTGCTGGAAAAACTGGAAAACAGTATGGCAGAAACTAAGCATAGACCAACATCTTATACCTTATCCCAAGATAAGGTCAAAATGGGTACATGATTTAGAGATAAAGGGTGATGCTATAATCAAAGTAGGAGAGCAAGGATTAGTTTACCTGTCAGATCTATGGAGAAGGGAAGAATTTATGACCAAGCAAGAGACAGAGAGCATTGTGAAATGCAAAATGGATATTTTTGGATAAATTAAAGGGTTTTTGCAGAAACAAAGCTAATGCAACCACGATTAGAAGGTAAGCAGAAACCTGGGAAACAATTTTTATAGCCAGTGACTCTGACAATAGCCTCATCTCTAAAATATATGGAGACTTGATTCAAATTTATAAGAATACAAGTCATTCCCCAATTGATAAATGGTCAAACGATAAGAACAGGTAGTTTTCAGATGAAGAAATTAAAGCTATCTATAGTCATATGAAAAAATGCTCTAAAGCATTGTTGATTAGAGAATTGCAAATCAAAACAACTCTGAGGTACCACATCACACCTGTTAGATTAGTGAACATGACAAAACAGGAACATGCTAACTGCTGGATAAGATGTGGGAAAATTGTAACACTAATGCATTGTTGGTGGAGTTGTGAACTGATCCAACCATTCTGAGAGCAATTTGGAACTATGCTCGAATAACTCTAAAACTGTGCATACTCTTTGACTCAGCAATAGCACTCCTAGGGCTATATCTCAAAGAGATTACAAAAAAGGTAAAAGATGCCACAGATTCAAAAAATATTTACAGCAGCTCTTTTTTGTGGTGACCAAGAATTGGAAATCAAGGGGATACCCATCAATTGGAGAATGACTGGACAAATTGTTGTATATGAGTGTAATGGAATACTATTGTGCTATAAGAAATGAAGAGCAGGATAACTTAAAAAAAAAAAACCTCAGAAAACCCCAAATGGGGTCACAAAGATTTGGAAATGACTGAACAACAAAAAAAATTTTGCCCATAACTTTTTATAAAAATGCTTCTTTTTTGTACATTCAGAGAATTATCTAAATGTATGCATATCTATCAATTCATATCCATATCTATATCCACATATTTCTTGTGTGCACATCCTTAAACTACCAGTCTTATTTTGCCTATTGCAGATTGTTGACCACAACAAGGGGCTAGATTTTAAAATTTATTTGGGACCATGGGGATGATAGTTGAGAAGAAAACTATTTTCTGAATAGTTTTTGCTGCTAGTTTCGTGTAATATTTATGGAGCCTTTTAACAAATATTTATTTTTCTAAATCTAAAAGTAATTCTTTATAAGTTTAGAGAAACTTGAGCAAAAGACAGTACAAAAACACTGGCACTTAAATGTTGAATGTCACTATCTATGTGAAGTTACACATTTTAGGATAGTGTGAGCTTTTAATGTTAGGTCATATTAAACTCTTAAGTTAAATTAAGCAGACCCAATGTTGTTGGTGTAGCCATAACTTTCTGATGTTAGTCAAATAAAACCAGCAGCTTGAAATTAAAAAATGCCAAGATTTGATATACTTGTCTTAAGATATTAATGAAACACTTCTAAACACTGTGAAGTGTCCAGATTCTCAGATGTTTGTTGCATGAATTTGTTTAGTTATGTTTTCATTTTTCCACCCTATGAATGTCTAATACATTGTAATCCTCAAACAGGTAGTTATCTTTGTTCTATTGGCATAATCAGTGACTTGTGCATTTAGCGGTAACATCTTAGCAAGTTTTATCAGCCAGCAATATTGTCAGTTCATAAATAAGGATTCAAAGGTCATGTGTAAGAATGGATTTAAACTTGCTAAATGTAAAGACTGCCCTTCAAGTAACCGTAGGTTGATATTGTTTACTGGATCAGTTATGCAGGTGCTGTGCATATTCTGATGTTATTAAAATAAAAAATTGAATTGCAATATATATATATATTATTATTATTATTGCTAGTATTTTTCCATCAATAGCGTATAAGCTGCAACCTCCATTAAGGGGAGACTGTCATGGTGGTCTCAAGGCCATCAGGCCTAATTTTATGACACTATCCTTTAAGAACCTTCATAGTCAAGTCAAGTCAAGAAGCATTTATTCATTGCTCACTATGCTCTAGGCAAGGGCAGTTAGATAACACTGTGGATGGACACTGGGCTTAGAGTCCAGAAGACTCATCTTCATGAGTCAAATCCAGTCTCAGACCCTTCCTAACTATGTGACCCTGCGCTAATCACTTAAGCCTGTTTGCCTC